CGGGTTGGCAAACGCAGTTTCTTATAATTTAGATTTTCCCCTGTTTCAGTTTCCCTCAGCCCACGCTTACGACATCCATGTGACGATATGGGAAAGCGGATGATTTTAGACAATTTTTTGAATACTTGCAAATATTAAGAGTGAATTGCAATCATAAATTATTTATAGCAGGCAGGACAAATAAAACTGTACAGTTTTATCCTTTTTAAAATATATGTTTTTAAATAAAAATTAAGTTTTTATATTTTTTAATTATTTCCCAAACAATGTCCTATCGAAAATGGATTTTTGACCGGACATTGTTTTGGAAACCATAGAGGTGCCTATAATTTTACAATTTTATTAATAAATACAGTCTGGAGCTTTTTAACAATACTCACACTCACACTATAACTATAATAAGCGCTTTGAAAATTTAGAGGCATGCCGCCTAAATTAAATTTATAATTTAATAGTTCACGAAAAACTTACGTTTTCATTGCGGCTATCTTTAAAAAGTAAAAGAAGGCCCATACCGAGAAATGAGATATTTGTAGACTGTTAGTTATACTTTATACTGGGATTATAAACCCAATATGATATTGAATTGTAACAAATAAAAAGAAAATGGTTCGATTGGAATGGATTATTTTACGACACCACTATACCAGGGAAATAAAATCACGCCCAGGAAGTGTAACCCAGCTGCAACCTTCCTTCAAAATATAATATTTAAAAGTAGAAGCAAAATCGCGACCTCACGTTCCAAGAACGGACATGGTCTCGATGTGAGCACACTTAATTCAATTATAACACCATTGTCGCTTTTTCCTTGCGAGCCTTAACACCACAATGCTTTGTATTTTGCCAACAATAACTGTACATATTTTCAACACAATGCCGTCAAGACTCGGACGCGATGACGTCCACTCACGACGGTCAGTATTTTTTTCGCCACTCGAAACTAACGGTTTGGGAGTAAATTTACCATGTTTGAAGTGTGTAAGAGGATTTTCCGCTTTTTTGTCTAAAGTAAGTATATATATATATATATATATATATATATATATATATATCATCATCATTTTTTTCAGTCTTTGATACGTATATGGCCTAATACTCAAACGCTACACAAACTTCAAAAACAATTTTAAAATGTCATTAAGTCTCGTAGTGTCACAGTCACTTTGACTTAAAGTGATAGAGACAGCACGAGACTTAACGGGATCTTAAAATTGAGCAGTGTTTGAGTGTATCGGCATTATTTCAGCTAATTTTGAAGCATTTGTCATGAGCACCATCAAACATTGTACGAGTCGTGACCGACATGAGCTAAACAGTCAGATGAGGGGGCTCGCACACCCTCACTCGGACAGCGGTTAGATAGCTCAAAAAAACCTCAACAGAGGGGACATGATGATTGGTAACAATACCAAATCATAAATCAACATCATCCTCATCCCCATCATTGCCTTTCCCCTTTTTTAATAGCTCGAGCCATGTGTCAAATGAAGCTGTAAGAGCCGAATAGGCTAACAGCACTTACATCACAGAAAATAGATGATTGGAACGATACGACACTCATAGGACAAAATGGAGTGATAAAAACTTTTAATTGCCGCCACCATGCGACATTCTCCATTTAATATAAAACCATTGTTTCTTGAGTGTCAGTATATTATTAAGATTCTCAATATAAAGGTATAAGTACTTAAAAGGCTATGTGGGAATATAAATATATTAAAAATTTTATGTTTATGTTTTTATTAATCATAGAATTAATAATTGTATAATTTTATTATTTAATATAATATTAATTAATGTTAACAATATTAATGATGTAAGGAGCAACTTTCAAATACTTAATTATAATAGATCTTTGAATTTTAAATGAAATGACACATTTGGCAGTTTATAAAACTCAGTAGTATATAGCCGATACGTGGTTATATTATTTTTTTTGTAAAGAGCTCACTATTGGACATGGGCCTTTTTCCATTATACCAAAGATGGTACCACTATCAGTTGAAAGTCACGCTTGTCAAGCGTGTAGATTTATAAATTCTCTCTACGTTATTTAGACCTTTCCCAAATGATAAATAAATTACTACAATTTTGCATACATACATAATATCTAAAAGTTATACGTATTTTCGTAACCATCGTGGGATTGTTTACATTATTTTAAATATGTAGTCACCCTATACCCACGAAAGTTAAATTGTGTTTACACTTCAAGTGTTTATCGTGTCCTGAACCAGATACCGATCTTAATCTCGGATTAGTGGCGCGCTAAAGGCCATTGTTAGGTTGTCTAAATGCGTTTCATTATGTCTAAGTGAATGTATTGCCCACCTATGAGACACAATGGGCGTCTTAATAGTTCGAACACTTCACTCCCACGCGTCAGAATAGAGCTTGGCTAAATCTTTTCCGATCGTCTCGTATCCGGTTGCGAGTGTTTATTATTCCTGTAATAATTGTTAGCCACAAATACGTTGGTTTATTTTGGGAAAAGATTCTGGAAATAGTTATAATAAACCATATACGCTGCTTTCATCAATCTGAAAGAGATCTTTCCTTACTGGCCGACTGTAACGTAGTGATTATACTAAATAAAGTACCAACCTACAAATATCTTACAAATATGTGAAACGATCCCATGGCATCCGAAGACATAAACTTCTAAAACACAGAGCAGGGAAGTAAACGCAGCTGCCATAATGCGTAATTTTTTTTAAATAAATTTTATATAATATTTCTTCAAAAAGAGATTGTCTCTCTGAGTTCGTTGCTCATAAATGGTTAAGATAGAGAACAGAGGCACTGATACATAGTTTGTAGAGTGTAGGAGCACACACATACAAATAAATTCATTCGTAAGGGTAGTAGGCAAAAATGTTGTTCCATATTCCATAAATCATATTTAATTTGGGATAATTTCAAATAAAAGTAGAAGACTTATTTACACGAATTTTCAACAACTGTAATAACGGTATATAATTATTTCATTATTTATATATACTCGTATGAACTTAAGTTTAAAATTTGGCTACTTTTTGAAAAATAAACCTGTATACTCTTTCGATGAAGCAAACCGATTTAGTTATTCCTTCTGAAGTTCTTCTTTATTAAGAAAAAAATACATTTCGACCAGTTCCAAAAGCTTATTTTTCCAATGTTAAAACAATACATAAAATGTACGAAAACTGCAAACAGTAATTGTATGTGTTTGTTTATAATCAAATTTTATTTTTTAGGTAGGGCTAATACATGTTTATATGTAGTTCATCTGAGATTAATCGTGTCTGTCTTTCTTGTTCCTATGGTCTGCTGTAATATGACAAATCAAGGCACAAACAGTCCTTAAACGTCTTATACACGATCTATCTTGCTGTAGATACGTCCCGCCAAGGTCATGCACGACGCACGACACAAATAGACAATGCGTAGGCTTGACGTCCGTAATTATTGACTTATAAGACTATTTTTTTGCACCCAAAGCAAGGCTACCCTTCGGGAGCGGGAGAGGGAGGTGGTAAATGCTCATAGCATACCACGCAGCCGGCTGCGTGGTTATGTGGGACTCACTATGAAGTGCCTACCCACTAAACACCACCTGTGGGACTGGTTTTGGCCTGTATGGCCTCTTTGCCGCATCGGAAGCGACCCCCCTTAGGGAAGGGGTGCACAGGGCACAACCGTACGGAGACGGGAACTATCACATATAGGTCAGCTATCACACCGCTCGGCGGCGGCGGCGCTAGCTAGCGCACACAAACGTATGGGCGCGGCGGCGCTAGCAGACTCTGCTACCCTCCGGGAAGCGGGGTGAATGCTCGTAGCTTACCACGCAGCCGGCTGCGTGATTATGTGGGACTCACTATAAAGTGCCTATCCACAAAGCACCACCTGTCTCTGCGCCCTCTTCTTCCAAAAGAGGGTCGCTTCCGATCCGGCAAAGAGTCTTAATCAGCCAATTGCCAGTCCCCAAAGTGGAGTTTAGCAGGTATCACTTAGGGTCCCCGTTAGGATAGTCACAGTGAGTCCCGCATAACCACGACAGACCGACTGTCGTGGTTATGTGGAAACTGCACTTTAAGGAAAGGGGGCGTAGGCGGCGAGTAGCTGCTGAGAAGCGGGCCTAATTAATGCAAATTAAGAATAGGGAGAAGATTCGGCCTGAGGTGCTAGGAGGTAGTCCAGGTCGACCGAAAGCTTGTTTGGCGGGTCCGAGAGAGAGTTTCTCGGCCTGCGAACTCGATAGCGAGAGGGAAGTGGGGCTGCATAGGAAGTTGCCTAACGAATGAGATGATTTGGGTAAGACACTGAGGGTTTGAAGAAGTTCTCAGAGAGTGATTTTAGAAATTGTTGAATTGTGGGGAGCACTAAGTCTCGATGGAGGTCGAGACCGCTCGGTGCGTTCGTAACCCGACGACAAAAATAGTTTTGAACTAATTGAAGTTCGTTTAGGATTTTAGGCTTAGCTTGAGCAAAAATGGGGGCCGCTTAAGTCATAACTGGTCGTATACAGACCTTATGTAGGGTTCGCTTGTTTTGGAGGGACATTTTACTGTGTCGGCCCAGCATGCTGTTGAGCCTACCCAAGTAAAAGCGCGCGATTCGAGTTAGTCTCTTAAAATGGGGCTCAAAAGTGAGCCTCGTGTCAAGGGTGACACCTAAGTATTTGGCGGTCGTATGCCAGGGGACAGGGGTCCCTAACATACGAGAGTATAAGACCGTGTATAAGACGCTTTATATACGTTCAACCCATATACTTAGAATATACTGGTGTATATATTATTCTAAGTCTATGGTTCAACCACGTTCAACGATATTGGCCATAAACAAAGTAGATTTTCATTGATTTATGATTATATAATTCATAACAGACAGTTATTGTTTTAAATTTTAAAATTATAGGTTACAATATGCATAATATTTTCAGTACCAAATCTCTTAAAATTAGCAAATTTTCCGTCCTAAATGTGATATTTTTGTTATTTCTAGTATTTTTTACCATGGGATTTCATGTGTGGCTTGTTTGCAAAACATTAGCAGTCTTGGACGATGTCAGCACTATTATCGTATTAAAACATGACAAACGTTTTATCAAACCTTTGCCCGATAAAACGATATATATTCTTAATTGGGACAAGAATTTTGATACACAAAAGAATTTATTCGATCGTTGCTCTGTAAGAAATTGTATGATAACTAAAGATAGACATTATTTCGGTGAAGATTACTCAAATTTTGATGCGCTACTGTTCACTGAATCGTTCTTAGGTTCAAGTTACAAACCACAAAACGGATCAAGAGCTCTACGTATCTTTGTATCGACCTTACCACCGCATAATAAAATCACGTGTGATAAATACTATGATAACTTTTTCAATATGACATTTACGTATCGCCTCAACTCCGACATAGTATTGAAATATTTTGTGGTACGAAATTTTACTGGACATATTGTAGCTCCAAACCTCGCACCTGTATGGAATGTGAGTCCGAACTCTGTTAATACCGATATACAGTCAATTATGCGACGCAAAGTGAGAGCAGTCGTTTACATGAACTGTAATAGTAATTACGACAGTTGGAAAAGGACGTACCTCACTAAACTAGAAAACAACCTTTCACGGTATTCCCTGAAAATTGATACGTACAATTGCTCAGGATGTGGGTATGGTGATTGTAATAGTATATTCAGAGATTATTACTTTTACATAATATTTGAAAACTATTTCGCTGAGGACTATATGACAAAGAAATTATTATATGCTTATGATAATTACGTGGTTCCAATAATTTATGGTGGTGCTAATTATAGCAGGTAAGTTTTAAATCTTTTTTCCATATATATGCCCGCAAATCATATGCATATGGTTGATGACACGAATCTAATAGACCGTCCCTCACTAAATGACCGTTACGACCTGGAAAGATATGCAGGAAGTCGATGGATGCAGGTTGTTCAGGACCGTTTTGTGACATTCCTTGAGGAAGGCCTATGTTCAGCAGCGGACTTCTGAAGAGCTATAATAATGATGATGATGATGATAATGATGATTAAGAAAAAGTAGAGAACCCAAAATGTTAAATTATTATACATATACTTTGTTTATTTTCTTAATCTAAGTAAACACTTTCCATTTAATGTACAGATTTCTACCACCGCATTCTTATATCGACGCTTACGAAACAAAGCCCAGTGATATCGCAGCAGAAATCCAAAGGTCACTGTACAGCTTCACGGATTATGAAAAATATTTCAAATGGAGGAACGTATATACAATTGAAAATCACCATCCGTTTTGCGATCTCTGCGATGTTTTAAATCGAAGGAAATCAAGGACCACGCCAGCAAAGAAAGACTTCAGGGAGTGGTGGAACGGTAAAGATGGTATGAAGCTATGTTCTTTACAGCAATTTAAAAATGAGAGTCAAACTGATTTAAAGCTAACCAGCTAGCCACAAAGCAATGATTATAATTGGGTCGTAGACATTCATGTCAATTGAAGCAAATGGCAAAATGTAACTTTTGTACAGAAATTGTAAAGGGGTAACAACGTCATATTTTCTTGTGGTCAAACATTTTATTTGCATATTAAATAATAAAATCTGATTTTAAATAAAATCATATTGTTACCAAGTTTTAGTTATTTATTAATGACTACCCAAATAACAACGACGACAAAAAGCATGCTAGGTATACGTATAATTTGAATGTAAATATATTTCATTCTGACGATCAAGCATATGAATTGGCTTTTATGCAGCTAATCAAATGCACATATCTCATGTTGAATAATCTAGTTTAAGTAACAGCTGTGTCAACCGAAAGTAATTCGAAAGAACCAACATTCAATCAGACGTTATTTTGCGTTTTATCTATTTTAAAGTTGAAAATAAATGAAACATCCGGACTATTCTTGCAAATTTTCGTTATCTTTTAATTCAAAGTTATCAATATCCTGGTTCAATGTCCTTACACAACAAAAACTCACCCAAAAAAATAATCTCCCTCGACGCGAGCTTACAGAAAACTCATCAAATCCAAACTTATAAGACTTCATTGAGCGCGCGACCGATAGTTTTCTAATCCGCCCACACAATAACACTGCTTTATTAATTTCGTATCGCTCACAAAAGAGCATGTTGGCTACAAATATTGCTAAAGACGCAGCAGTAATTAATGTTGGAGTCGCATTGGTTGAGCTTGTTAGTTCCCGGGGGAGGCGCGGGAGCACAATACGATAGTTACGACAGGGGGCGCGTATCGGCCGACGTTTAACGAGCAAATTATTTAGTAAATGTTGCCAAATAATAACATTAAATGCGGGTACGTGGGGTCGATGAGATGCGCTTCGTCGCGCTCTGTGACATAGATGGCTTAGTATGGATTTGTCTTAAATAACTCGTCTTTCTCAATAAACTACAGCTTGATAGAAGTAATTAAGAATTTTTCTAAACTACTACTAGCAGTAAACTTGAATACTTTTTCTATATTGGCCTTTTAAAAGTACACTGCGGGGCTTGCTACTTTCTACTTTGACCTCTCTCATTATAATAAACATTAATTTGGCATAATCGCTACGCAGGCAATTTAGCAATCGCAATACGAGATATTTCGCAACTTAGACGCCAACTCGGAATTTGTAGTACACACAAATTTTTCATAACATTACAATCGAAAACCTAAACATGTGAAAACGCCAGTGTAGCCCGCGAAATTCAAATTTTCTTACGTTTTTTGGAATTTGCAGGTAAGGGTCAGGTTGTATGTTTAACAAAATATGATTCGCGACTGTAACGAGTATGTGTTTCCAGAATTATTATCATCAAAACTATCAATACAACCTTCTAAGTTCATATAATACCTTTGAATGAGTTATTCTGGAAATAGCCATACAATGGTATTATACGAACTTAGAGGGTTGTATTTATGATTATAATGATTACAATTCTGTAAACACATACTCGTTGCGGCCGCGAATCATATTTTGTTAAACATACAACCTGACACTGACCTGCAAATTGCAAAAAACGTAAGAAAATTTGAATTTCGCGGTCTACCCTGGCGCTTTCACCTTAAGAAAAAAATATCACATATTATCGGTATCAATAGGTAAGAGGACAATACCTACCCAGACGGAATCCTAGGCCTCCAGAAAAGAAGCCTTTTATACTTGTATCACCAGAAGATGATGAAGGTTTTGTACGTATGTATACAAAATAACGAAATTTTAACATGCACGTTTTAACTTTATTGATTCTAATTTATTCATCTAAGACGAAAACTTCAAAATACGATCAAAAGCCGATCGATAGACGGTATTAATGTTAAGTAAGGTTTCTTTTAATAGTAAACAGTCTAACCTACATCGTCCGTGGGTGTCGTAAGAGGCGACAGCGAGAAGCTGAAGCAGGAGTTATGCAGCAGCATCTTTTGGGTAACAACTCAAAATTATAAAAAAATTGCGGTTGCTAATTGTGGCAGCTATTAATGCCATGAGTTAATCCATAGCGGAGGTCTATGTTCAGAAATGGACTTTTATTTTTATAGGCTGCTTCGTTTGCTTTTACCTTTCAATACCTCATTGTATCAAAAAATATTAAGCTATTCATAAAACTACTGGATACTGTTCTCTGCTTATTTTGTTAATAATTAACTACTATGCTCTTTCTAGTAGCTTGATCGATCGTTTTAAATATATATTTATTATTTTAACCTAAACAAATCTTTACACTAACATTGTTGTAAAGATTTTCAGTAAATGCTACGGATTTGATGATCGCAATACGAGATGTCTCGCACCTTTGATTGCGTATTTTACGTTAGGCATACAACGTGTAACAAAAACTCTGTGGTTCCCTTTAAGTGCGTTGTCAAACGAAGTATTCAAACGTAAAGAAATAACGTTTTTTCAAAAACTTGAACATTAAAAAAATTAATTTTAATAAATAAAATAATTTGCAAATTGTGTGGTTTTATTACCTCTAACTGACACGAGCATCGATGAAGGGGGGTCTTTCACAATTCTCTTACTCTCCGGATAATGCAGAGGTAATAAAACCACATACAATTCGCAATTTTTTTAAATATTTTTTTTTAATGTTCAAATTTTTTGAAAAAAGTTTTTTTTTTATGTTTGAATACCGACTCTGATAACGCCCTTAACGGGAACCACAGGGTTTTGTTACATGTTGTACACGGTATGATGGATAGATGGAGGGACGACCTGGTAAGAGATGCAGGAATTCGAAGGATGTCGGTGTTTCAGGACCGTGCTTTGTAGCATTGCTATGGATAGGCCTATATTGTTGATGACTTGTGAAGGTTTTACGTGGTAGGGCCATGCTGCAGCTATATTAGTAGTATAGTTGTAGCACGAATGGCTCGACCACGGGGAAGGACCACGCTCTCACAGAATACCAGCGTAAAATAGCAGATTAACGACAGGTGGACTGTGTGCTCGTTTGTCACCCTTATCCTATAAAAAAAGGTAATGTACTGATGATGATAATGATGATATACAACAATATGTTATTCTTTAATCAACACGTAAAAATCCATTGCTGGACTTGCGCCTTCCCTGTTGTAGGGAGAATTCGCCTCAATCGCCACGCTTTGTACAGCGGCATGTGGATTGTCGATCACAGTACCAGGTGAATCGCACCTTTGATGAGGTTCCCCGTCGCCGGCCTGAGTATTTTACGCCTGGCATATGGAAATGGTTACACCTCCATCTATCGAAAGGAATATAAGGTCTTTCTGGAATTGCCTAGAGTCATCCCTTACTACACAAACGGGCTGATAGTGTGACTAAATAACTAACAAGTGGTAAAATTAAAAAAAAATTACATCCGACTTCAATATAAATTATTAAGGATAACTCAAAAACTACTAGTCAAACCTTGATCAAATTTATATGGAACCACAAGAGAAGCACCAACTTTCAAATAAAAAAATCATCGCTTCACCTAGAAAAAAGTTATGAGATAATACATAAAAAAAATGAATTCCTACTCCTTTTTGAAGTCGTTTAAAAATAGAAAAAAGTTATGAGATAACACATAAAAAAATTGAATACCTACTCCTTTTTGAAGTCGTTTAAAAATTATATCTATGGCAGGCTATGAGATCCATGTTCTCGCAAAAGGAGTGTCGGTATTAGCAGCAGCGCAGCGCCTCAGCAGATTACCCCATGCAAGTTTATTCATGATGTTTTCCTTAACCACCCAACACGTGTCAAATAAACACTGAAATTGTAATTATCTAACAATTTTATCGATGCCGATGGGCATCAAACCTGAATTACACAATTGTGTTATTTCAATTATCGAAAAAACTACTTTAAATTCAGTTCCTTGAAAACTATGTGCGATATAGGAAAAGGATCTTAATAAAAATTTGAGATCTATTATTTTCACGTAAAAAAGTATTAAAAATATATAGTTAATTAAAAAAATATTTTTAAGTTTCTCATAGCTTATGAGATACGTAATCATCAAAAACTCTTTCAACCTTTAAAAATAATTTCTTAAAAAAATTGCTTGTTTTGCGGATAAAATATAGTTTAGATTGATAATTGCAATTTTAAGTGCTGATTTACCACGTGCTCGGCGGTGAAGGAGAACTTCGTGAGGAAACCTGCGTGTTTGAGAAATAAGAAAAAATATTTCGATGATATGTGAAGCTCACCAACACGCATTGGGTCAGCGCGGCGGACATGTCCTTGTCCTAAAACCCTCTCAGAAATGACAGGAGACCTATACCCATCAGTGGGACGTAGTGTTGCCCAAATGCAAGAACAAGACGAGACTTAGCAAGTCTTGGTCTTGGTCTTGCGCCAATACACCTGGTCTTGGTCTTGGTCTTGGTATTGCGCTCCCAGTCTTGGTCTTGGTCTTGGTCTTGCAGCAAGAGTCTCGCAAGTCTCGCAATGACCTATTAGCCTATTACTATTTATTAAACTACTTTAGATCTTAGAACAACTTAACAGAGTAGGTACATATTGAGCATGAATTAACATAGCCATAGTAAAGACCAACCATATTAATAAATGTCTAAACATTTAATGAGAAATTCGAAAAATCAACTGACACCGGGTGGGGTTTGAACCCACGACCTAAGCGGTCCGTACCGATGCTCTAACCAACTGAGCTATCTACCGTGTCGCACGGCCATGGGCGTCAGTTTCTTAATAAACGTTTACATTTAATAAGCTTACATGTGCTAAAACATGGTTAAACATATAAAAACAAATTAATGGCAATAACTACACTGTATTTTAAATAAAATTATCTCTTTAGAAAGAGATTGATGGACCCTCACCATATATGAAATGGAATAAAAGAGTTATACAATATACCATTTATTTAAATAAAAAATAAAATACGATGCAAATTAAATTACTTCACAGTATGTACACAACAGCTTTGACATTACTGTTACCTACTTTATATTT